GGTCCCTCATATAGAGAAATGCATCTCGGTATGTTACACCTCCAGTAAGAGAAGAATCGGGATGCTTAAATGAAAAATATTCTGAGTAGAGTTGTGATACCACTGTAAAGTAATGCTGAAATATGAATACTGTGGTTTTTGCATTTATGTGTTTGCTGTTCCTTTGGATTTTTAAAAAATTATCCAAAGGAATGACTTTTCAATAAGTGGAACTGTTTTTCTTTTTAGCTGAACAAGTGACCAATAATCTTAAAGAACTTGCGCAGCAAGTAACTCCAGGTGATATCGTAAGCATGTATGGAGTTCGAAAAGCAATGGGGATTTCCATTCCTTCCCCCGTCATAGAAAACAACTTTGTAGATTTAACAGAAGGTACGTGCCCTTTTTCTCTGGGATGAGTGAAAGGCTATTGTGAGTACAGTCGTCCCTCGGTATCTGCTGGGGATTGGTCCTAAGACCCACGAGGATACCAAAATATGTGGATACTCAAGTTCCTGATATTAAATGGCATACAACCTGCGCACATCCTCCTGTATACTTTAATTCATCTGTAGATTACTTGTACAATGTAAATCCTTTGTAAATAGTTGTTATACTGTATTTTTTTATTTGTATCATTTTTAGTTGCGTTGTGTATTGGGTTTTTTCCCTAATATGTTCTGTCAACAATCGGTTGAATCTGGAACCCGCAGATACAGAGGGCTGACTGTAAAAGGAACATCAGTCCTCTTCCTTCAGATAACATGTGAAAGATTTTATCTCTGTTCTTGGTATATAAAACTATTGGTTTTCTTTCTATCTTGTCCAAAGAATAAAGATTTCACACATTTGCCAGAAAACTACAGTGATGACTTGCTAGTGCCCCTCACCTTTAACCTTGGATGTGGTCAAGGACTGCTGTCAGCACTTGCTCTTCTGGCTGGTAGCCTTACCTTCACTTCCTTTTTCAAATTAAAAATGCTGAATAGAATGTGGTGTCTTTCTCTTTCAGATTTCGAAGAACCTAAAAAGACCGATGTTGCTGAGTGTGGACCTGATGGGATTTAAAACCAACTGGTATTTGATTATATATTATGTACATATTTTTTCATTCTTAACTTGGAAATGCTTTTCAGAAGATATTAAATATTTGTAAATTGTGTTTTTAATTAAACTTTGGAACAGTCAATTTTAATGTTCCAGAGATTGGACTTATATATTAGGTAATAAAGCTGAACCTGGGACTCTGAGAGGAGTATTGTACATGTCAACTGAGTTACCCGACGTTCCCCCGGGGCGCTGCGTCTGTGGATAAGTGACAGAGAAGCTCAGGGAACCAAACCATCACCCACAAAAAGAAGCAAATCCCCAAAGTAATTGAAATCACTGATTGTTCACATTTGCCATATTCCCCATTAAAGAAATCATAACCAAATAGTTCCAAACTTAGCAGCTCTCCTCTTGATAATTTATTCAAAAAGTGGCCCTTGTGAAGAAGAAATATAGCTTGGGGCTGCCGCCATACCCGTGCAGCGTTCTTTCCAAGTAGTGCTCGTGCTGCTTTCTTACCTCTCACGGATAGGACCAAGACTAAGAAACTCTAGAAATGGTCCCTTCCAGTGAGATTTCTCGTTCCACAAACATGCTGGAGGCAACTTTAGAGTTTAATAGTTTGGTCCTGCCCCCAACGTACCTAATAAAAATGATGGTCTTATGTAGGATAATAGGTTCCCTTCAAACCCCCTCCAAAAAGCAAAACAAGTTTTATAGCACTATAACATGTCTGGTGTTCTTTTTTGGTTTTTTCCATTTTTTTAAAGAGCAAAGGAACTATAATAAAGGGCTAATAAGCCAAATAAGATAAACCAAATCATCCTTGAATATATCAGGGAATTACTGAGCTTAAATGAAAATCTATGTTTCTGTCCACTGTTTTTTATCTGAAATACAAAGGTCAAGTGCCCGAGTTTATGTTAGGAGTCCATGATAAGTGCCCCATTCCATCACCAGTCCTGTACTGAGATGAATGGTAATTTTTCTGAATCTGGTTCAGTGTATAACCTGTTTTAAAAGCAAAAGGAAAAATTCAGGATGGACATAGGTTAATTCAGCAAAAAAATTTACATAGAGTCTTCCTGTGACCTCCCCTCTGGCAGGAAGTCATTTTTTTTTTAATTTTCTTGGCTTTGAAAATTAATATTTAGGAAGAACAAGTAGGGTGAAGGAAAACTGATTCTCTTTAATCTCTAAAATATAATTTAGGTGGTAACTGATTCTTAAACCTTAGATCTACTTGGGTAAATTCCTACAGACCAAGAAAATATTTAAATTCAAAACACCTTTAGGACATTCAGGTTTTCCAAATTGTTAATTTAATGTATAAAAAGCAGCTAAACACTGGTACTTTATAAAAATGGATCATAGCATTTTGAAACAAATGTTATAGATCTCTAAATATTCAGTATACAGAATAAACCCTAGTTATTTGCATGTTCCATCTCAAAGCATATTTCTGTACACTGACCTATTATATACATAAAGTATACAGTGGTTAATGATCTTCTTTTCTGTTAGGAAATGTCCTTAATAAGTAAACCAGGAAACTTCAGGGTTGCCAGTCAGGGTGAGGCCACCTTAGGAAAAATGGTAAGTCCTTGATCCATAGAGAAGGAAGGTCATTTTTAGAAAAAATACTTGTTTCTGTCATTAAAACAATGACACCTGTGAAGAAATTACTCAGTAATTTGAAAAAAGATTAATAAAAAAAAAATACAGGTGATTATTATGATCTTTTATACTCCATGACCTGAACATTGAAAACTAAAAACTTAAATATTCTTATCTGAGCACAGTACTTTAGTTGGAAATGGAGAAAAACATATGAATGGTAACCATTTTTTTTTAAAACTCCTAACTGGGCTTTCTGTTACTGAAGAAAAAAGGTAACTTCAATACTGCAGGAGTAGAAATATGTCGACCTCAGAGAGGCCCAGTGCACTGACATTTGTTTCTATGTTTCTATCAGCTGCAGAACCCAGCCTGACTTGCCTGGAGAGCCCCCAGTGGGCAGCCTTGGTCACTGCTAGATTTGGAGAGCACAAATTTCAGCCCAGTACCTAACTGAAACCAGCCCTCTATGTGAAAAGTTGTGTAGAAAGGGCAATTGAAGCGAGGCTCATTTCCCTTAGCAGCGTTTTTGCCGTAAAATTCCTTTAAACAAACAGCAAGTTCTTATAATGTATTCACACTCATTCCAATTACATGTGACACATCAGAGCTGCCACTAGTTCACCCAACACCTTTGTGCGGATTAGAATAAACCCATCCCTCCTCCCCCAGCAGATAAAGCCCCACAAGATGACACAGCACAGGCAGTTTCGATTTCAGTCCTCTTCCCCCTTGACTATCCCTTACTCTGCAAATAGGGGGACAGCTCCTCTCAGGACCTCCTGAGTCCCAGGCAAACAAGGCTGCTTAGTCACCCTACCTGCAAGCCCGTGTGATCTTTTGAAGGCCCCTGTATGCAGGATCTTGTGTGTAACTTCATGGGTGACTTCTAGCTAAGAGTCGCTGCTATGACGGAAAATTCGGTTGTATTATAAATTCTCGGGATGCTCTGTCTGTGAGGCTACGGTTATAACTTCTGGTTATGAAGTCAGTTCAGAAAAAGAAAGGGCAGTTTGGTTATTTTGCACCTTGAAACAGGTTGACTTTTCAGTTCCCTGGGAGTCTGAAGTGTAGTAATACACCATCTCAGAAACCTGGCTTTTTGCATTTGCCTCGACTCGCTCAGGTTCAGAACAAGAACACATCTCAGCATTTTCCAGATGGCTGGCTTCCCAGATATGGGAACCTCTACACACGCCCATACTGAGTAGATCCTTCTACTTTTGAAGCTCTCCAGAGTTAGCTATGAAGACCAAAGAAAAGCAAAGAAACACTGACAGGTTGTCCAAGTTCTCTATACATTCCATTCCTTTCTAGTAAAAAAAAAAAAAAAAAACAGGCCGGGCGCGGTGGCTCACGCCTGTAATCCTAGCACTCTGGGAGGCCGAGGCCAGTGAATTGCTCGAGGTCAGGAGTTCGAAACCTGCCTGAGCAAGAGCAAGACCCCGTCTCTACTAAAAATAGAAAGAAATTAATTGGCCAACTAATATATATGTAAAAAATTAGACGGGCATGGTGGCGCATGCCTGTAGTCCCAGCTACTCGGGAGGCTGAGGCAGGAGGATTGCTTGAGCCCAGGAGTTTGAGGTTGCTGTGAGCTAGGCTGACGCCACAGCACTCACTCTAGCCTGGGCAACAAAGTGAGACTCTGTCTCAAAAAAAAAAAAAAAACCACCATATATTTGGAAGATTACAGGGCGAGCCCAAAATGCATGAGTGATCAGGGCAGAGCTAAAAGGTTGTACTGTAGTTCTAGGCTTTCAGCTTATTGCACCTAACCCCGGAGTGCTTGCATCAAAGCTACCTGTTCAGAGCTAGGGCTGCACTGCTCCTTGCTTTCTTGCTGTGAGCCACGTTCCTCACAGCCCGGCCCATGCCATACGCCGACACTGGACTGGTCAAAATGGCAGCGACTACGCTGGAGGGAAGAGATTTTATCTAGTGTCTATGAAGTCATTAGAAAGGGTAAAACCCCCATTAATAATGTATCTATTGGGCCAGGTGTGGTGGCTCACGCCTGTAATCCTAGCACTTTGGGAGGCCGAGGCGGGCGGATTGCTCAAGGTCAGGAGTTCGAAACCAGCCTGAGCAAGACCCCGTCTCTACCAAAAATAGAAATAAATTAATTGACCAACTAAAAATATATATACAAAAAATTAGCCGGGCATGGTGGCGCATGCCTGTAGTCCCAGCTACTCGGGAGGCTGAGGCAGTAGGATCGCTGAGCCCCGGAGATTGAGGTTGCTGTGAGCCAGGCTGACGCCACGGCACTCACTCTAGCCTGGGCAACAAAGTGAGACTCTGTCTCAAAAAAAAAAAAAAAATGTATCTATTTAAAACAAACATGTCAGAGATGGCAAGAAGTAAATGTTAATTTTTTTTCTCTTCTACTGTTTGAAACCATTTACAGATATAAAACACTTTCCAATTCCATTCACCAGGATGCCAATGTGAGAAACACAGAATCCCATAGCCAGTCTTGCTAGGGAGAAGGGAATCTTCCATCCAGCTCATCTTAATCCACTCTAGCTAGAAGGCATAAGTCTCCCTTGGGCATGCTCACAGGCCACTGAGATGGACATGTGTTTTGGTCATGTTCCAAGATCGCCTCCACAGTACTTCAGGGAACAAGATCTCAAGGTCACAAGTACAGTAGTTGTACCAGTGATCCCTTTCCAGCTGACCCGGAAACCCTTACTGACCAACAGCACAGAGGTTCTGGCTGCCACCGTGTGTTACGGCTCAGAAGTTGCCTTAAGCCGGGATCTGGTGCACTTGTCCAAGAAACCTCTAGCACAAGTCCAAAGAAGCCACTCACAGCCAAGCCCATTAAGTGCCTTTGTGCCTGGTGTTGGCTGAGTCTTCTCCTTGGCTTGCTTCAGGGGAGGAAACTGGCTTCCCAGCGTGTTCTGAATCCAGCAGAAGCCCTCAGTTCAGCCCCAACCCTTGAAACTTGGCAGTGTCTGTACAGACAAAATAAGTCCTTAGTTCGCCTTTGCCTTTAACATTAATTAGCCCACGACATTCACAGGAATACCCTAGGCCCTGGAGGATGGTGCATGTCTCTTCAGTAACCTGAAAAGGAAAAGAAAGCTAAGTCCTCAGAGGCAGGAAGGAAAGCTGCTGGGGAAGGGGGGACGGGTAGAAGCTGGCACACTTCCTTTCTCTCAGGACATGTGATAGCTCGAGTCACAGGCTGGTTGGTGGCTGAGGCAGGTCTCAAGCCCAGGTCCCCTCCCCTCTCGGGACATTCTTTGCTCTTGGTCACATGCTACCCCTCACCTGGATTTTCCCAAGTTCTCCAGTGCTCTCCATCCGGCTGGCCACATTGACCGTATTTCCCCAGATGTCATACTGAGGCTTTCGAGCCCCGATCACTCCAGCAATCACAGGCCCGTGGTTTATGCCTGAAGACAATGTTTACAGTTGGCTGATCACAGAGCCAAAGCCTCAGGCTTCTGTCCTTAAGAGAGGGAGGCCACAAAATTCCCCCACTAAGCACAGAAAGCAAGAACCACACTAAATAGAAGGTTGGGTTGGGACAACTTCGGGAATTCTGCCCCGTGGATTGTGCTTGGGATGTGGGAAAGGCGCTCCCTGCCCCGGCCAGCTCTCTGGCAGGCTCTCCAGGACTCAGGAAGTCTGGGTTTGATGGTGACACTTGCCTAGTACCCACTAATCTCACTTCGAACACCTAGGCTTTGAGCATAGACCCTTCCGGCTAACAGTGGCTACTCTAGATTGTATAACTCTATTCTCTGTACGTTAGGGTCACCTACTTACAGTTGGTAATTTTGGTTCTCTGTAGTGATAGTTCGTTCATTCTTAAAACTTTCAAAGGTAACCATGTAAGCAGTATACAAAGAAGGCCTCAGTAATTACCCCATCCAGCCACCGGGCCTGTCAGAGGTTTCTAAAACTTCGTAGTAGATGGCCACGTGCAGCCTCGCCACACGCACCAAGTGGGCCTGCCTGGAGGCGGGGGCTTCGCTGCCCACGCCCCTGCCCCCGCTCCCCTGCCCCCAGCCCCGCCAGCCCCTGCCCAGGGCCTCACCGACGCGAAGGCGGAAGGAGTTGAAGGAGTGCCTGTTGATGCCGTCCAGCTTGCTCATGAGGGCGATGCTGAACTCCACCATGACGCCGATGTGGGCGTGCTGCCGCTCCAGGTCCTGCGGCACAGAGCGCCGTGTGCAGGGCCGTGGAGGGCGGACCCCGTCCGGCCCCTCGGCTGGGTGTGTGTCAGCGCCTTAGGGCTCCCGCCCCCTGACCTGGCAGGTGCGCCACTATCCTTGTGGATTTTGTGGGAGGGGCTTTCGGTGGCAGAGATGTGCCAGGGTCTCCTCACAGGGCTCCCCTGCCCCCACCAGGGGCCCATCGCCCGCTACCAGAACTCTCGGGGCTCAGCCGCACAGGCACCTTTGCCCTTCCCGGACAGGACGGGGAAGCTCCCATTTAAGTAAGGTGATCGGTCCAGGGACGGTTGAATGTCCCCTCGTGGGGCTTTCATACCTGGTTCTCGTACCCCGGGGTGACGCTGAGCCCTGCAGCTGCCATGTATGTGCTGCCAATGGTCTTGATCTTCTCCACACCACTGAACTTGGGCTTGAGCAGCAGCTGCGGGACAAGGAGCAGTGACGCAGGGCCGCCGCCGCACCGCTGCAGCCCGGCCTGTCCCAGCTCCTCAGGAAGGGTGTGGGGTCTCACGCACAGGGCCCTTCCGTCCATGCTCACAGCTAAGGGCAAGTGGGGGCGTGGCCTCGGCCCCTGCTCCTGTCATCTGCATCTCCCCAACACCGTCTCTCCCTTGTCCCAGCCTGTGCACTCCTCAGTGAAGGAGCGGTCACACAGCTCGGCGTCATCCACACAACGTGGATCACCCGTCTCCAGCACAGGCGTAAGCCCAAACTGACAGGCTCTGGAACAGGCTGACAGCGCGGGCTCAGCTGGGAGTCCGACTGTTCTACAAGGGCAGAAGCTGCCCGTCACAGAAAAGACGTCAACAAAATATTTGCTGAATAAAACGGAATGAAAAAGACAAAAGTGTGCCTTTTATACTTCGTGTATGTTCCCCCAAGGGAGCCGTGTCGCATTTTTTAATCAGGCTTTAGGACGCCCATGCCTCCACGCGCCCACCCAGCACGGGCGCCGCGGGCACCTCGTCGAAGTCGGCGATGATCTCGTTGAGCAGCCGCAGGCACTCCAGGCCTTCCTTGTTGACGTCGCACTCCGTGTAGAACACTTTGAAATCCGGCACCGAGGCGAACATGACACAGACGCAGTCGTAGGACTGATGGTACCAGTCCTGGATTCAGGCGGGAGGAAACGGGACCTTAGGGCAGCCTGGGCTCTCGCGGGGACAGAGCAGCAGAGTGAGGCTCCAGGAGGGGGGGCACTGAGCTGCCCCGCCAAGCGGCACCAGCCCTGGCCGTGCGCAAGTCCCCGGGCCGTTAGGACACGGGCCACGGTGACTCGGCTGCTTGGGGAGGGGCAGGCTCGGGTTGGTGTCCTGCTCCTCTGGGCACCGTGGGTGTTTGTGCACAGCTGGGGGAGAGCCCCTGGGGAGCAGAGGGGAACAGGAGACCTGGGCTCTATACTAAGCAAGGCGCTGGTCCTCAGTTTCCTTATCTAGAAAAGCCCCTGCTACACGGAACTGGTAGAAATACAGACATTTTCTTCAATACAGAACGTCCAGATTATAAACACCTCAACACGTGTCCTCATGACACTCCTTCAGGGTGAGTACTGTCAGCCCATTTCACAGAGGGGAAGATCGAGACACAGGGAAGTGAGGTGTCTTGTCCACCATCACAGTGGCGCCCAGGTCTCGAACCCCACTCCCACGTCCTTACAGCTAATCCCGTGGGGTGCTTCGTGGCTCTGCACGGGAACCTCAGCCTCCCCACGTGACCGAGCCCCCTCTTCCCACCACACCTCATTTAACTTGTCACCAATAAAGTGAGCTGCCACATGGGCTGGCAGGACGTTCTCCAGAAGAAGGCGGTTCACGTTCTCCATGGTTTCAAACTCCTCGTGCTCCTTCTTGAACTTCTTCTTCCACAGACAGTCCAGGCGGCAGTAATAGTCAATCTGCAACAGCAGGAAGCGTCAGCGTCCTGTCCGCAGGCAGCGGTAACAGTCAGTCTGCAGCGGCTGGAAGCGCCAGCGTCCTGTCCGCAGGCGGCAGTAACGGTCAGTCTGCAGCGGCGGGAAGCGCCAGCGTCCTGTCCGCAGGCGGCAGTAACGGTCAGTCTGCAGCGGCGGGAAGCGCCAGCGTCCTGTCCGCAGGCCGCAGTAACGGTCAGTCTGCAGCGGCGGGAAGCGCCAGCGTCCTGTCCGCAGGCGGCAGTAACGGTCAGTCTGCAGCGGCGGGAAGCGCCAGCGTCCTGTCCGCAGGCCGCAGTAACGGTCAGTCTGCAGCGGCGGGAAGCGCCAGCGTCCTGTCCGCAGGCCGCAGTAACGGTCAGTCTGCAGCAGCGGGAAGCGCCAGCGTCCTGTCCGAAGGCCGCAGTAACGGTCAGTCTGCAGCAGCGGGAAGCGCCAGCGTCCTGTCCGAAGGCCGCAGTAACGGTCAGTCTGCAGCGGCGGGAAGCGCCAGCGTCCTGTCCGCAGGCGGCGGTAACAGTCAGTCTGCAGCGGCGGGAAGCGCCAGCGTCCTGTCCGAAGGCCGCAGTAACGGTCAGTCTGCAGCGGCGGGAAGCGCCAGCGTCCTGTCCACAGGCGCGGTAACAGTCAGTCTGCAGCGGCGGGAAGCGCCAGCGTCCTGTCCGCAGGCGCAGAGGCCGCCCGGCCGGCCAGTGCTCGTCTCCCAGGCAGGTCAGCCTGTCCCTGTGTCCCGGGGGGCCGAGGACCCTATCTCAGAGCCCGTGACCAGGGGACTGAGCTCTCCAGCAGGGCTCTGCTGCCTCCCTGCTCAGCCCCGCTGCCCTGTCCCCGCGCCAGGGCCAGCTGGGGCACGGGCGGCCTCGGCCGTACCTGTCTGGAGAGCAAGAGGAGGGTGGCATAGAACAGGACCAGGTAGAAATTGATCATGGTCTTCAGGTGCCTCCAGGAACATCTGGGGACGATGCTGGAGGTGAGAGGAGGCTGCAGTCACTGCCAGCGCCCAGCGCCCAGCCTGCCACCTCGCAGTGCTCTGCCACCAGAAGAGCGCACCCGCTGACGTGGAGACGCGCCCTAGCAGGGAGGGACAACTTCGGGGCGTAAAGGAAAGGGGAGGGGTGTGGAGGCGGAGGAGCCCTCACAGGGGCTCTGTGCTCCCCCTGAATGACAGCCCTGGCAGGGTGGCCAAGAGCTGCTCCCAGGGAACAGGCAGGCCGGGGCCTTGGAGACCAGCATGGGGACGGCGCAGGTGCGAGCCCCACGCGGAGCAGCTGCTCTGTCCAGGAGGCCAGGCTCTGGCCTGCAGTTCAAGGGCGGCCAGGCCCTCTCCTCATCCCACACGGGCCGCACATGCCAGCCCTCCTGTGCCTCAGGTGTCACCGCCTGTGCAGGAAGAGACCAGAGCAACTGCCCTTTTCAAAACTGGAGACCCAGCACGCCCCCGAAAGAGAGGTGCTGAGCCAGAGCTGAGGTCTCCCCCTCTGCCCAGACCGGCCTCTGGTGGCCCAGGACCTTCCCAGAGCAGCTGCAAATGAGCTACATCCCTCGGCGCTGCACGCTGCAGACTAGGCCGGGCCACGTCACTGTCCTTCTGTGAAATGAAACCTTGCCATCTGCCCATCCCGCCCACGAGGTGGCGGTCCCCGGGAGCCGGGCGCACAAGAGCACCCAGTCTGAGTAGGCACCAGAACAGAGCAGGCCACGGGGCAGGCGGGCAGCAGGACCAGGTTCAGGTCCTGGCAGCGAGCTGCCCGGGGCCCCACCTGAGAGTGCCAGTGGTGTTGGTGAGGTTGCCCGGGATGTGGCCACAGCAGTCCTGCTGCCAGCACGGGGACAGGTTGAAGAGCACCAGGTAGGCCACCAGGGCCACGGTCAACAGCACGACCTTCGGCTCCAGGCTCATCCGCAGGAAGACGGAGCAGGCGATGAAGCCTAGCATGCAGCTGCAGGCATAATACTGGGGAGAAGGGGGATGTTACCAGGGTGGCAAAGGTCACCCCACCATGTCCTGTCACCCAGGGGCACACCGCAGGCCTGGCAGTCACGGAAGGGAGAGATGCGTCAGCACTAACCCACCCCCTTCCGCCCTGGGCCCGCGTCTCAGCACCCCTCTCTCGCCCTGCTGAGCTCCCGCTGCAGCAAAGAGCAGGCGGTGGGATCCAAGTTCCCGGCGCTGTGCTGCGCTTACTGCGGCTGCGCTGCTTAAGGAACCAAACGAGTGCACGGTGCAGTGGACACGATAAAGGCAAAGGCGTCGCTCCTGCACAGCCTGTCTCCCGAGTTCTGCCGCAAGCTGGCCCCATCCCAAGTGCATCTCTCCTGCTCAAGACCATGCCCCCAGAATAAAGGCCACATTCTTTCCCCTGGCATTGCTGCAGCACCCTGATCCAGGTCGCACCTGCCTCTCTGGCTTGATTCCCCCGCCCATGACACACCACCTGAAACCCACTGCTCCCACCACACACCTCAGCTCCCCGTGCACTGCCCTCCCCACCTCAGCACCTCTCTGCCCTCAGACACAGCCCGGCGCACCACTGCCCCAGTGCCAGAGCCCGCGTCTGCTCATCTGCGGGCCACGCCAGGCCTGGGCTGCTGGGGCTCGGTGTGGGCTCGCCACCTACGAAGCCAACCGGCCAACCGCCCTGGGTCCCACTTACTCGTGAGTAAAACGGAGGTCACGAGGGGCCTGCCAGAGACGTGAGCGGGAGACACCCACCAGCACAGCGGAGGTTGTCCCTGTCGCTGCGCGCCCCACACGGCTTAAGCCACGCACACCAAGACCCAGACTCTGTCCCCGGGACCAGGGCTCGGCGCGGCCTGGCTGAGGGCTGCATGAGCTCCGGCACACCCTGTGGGCTCAGGCTCGGGGGCTTCAGCTCGGCCGCACCGGGCAGGAGCGGTCGGTGAGGCCCACGGCACCCGGGGCCGGGCCAGGGGGCACCCACCGGGAGGAGGCGCGCACACAGGGTCCTCTCCCCCACACTCGCATCCTGCAGGTCCGTCACGTTGCCCTCGGGCAGCTCCAGGGCGGGGAACGGCGTCAGTGGCTACGGAGGAGGCAGGCCCCGTTAGGACGGTCCAGGGCGCGGGGACACGGAGTGAGGCAGGCCTGGTATTTCCCACCAGGCGCACTCCGCACACGGCCCTGCGCAGCTGTGCCGCTTCCCGCAGAGGCAGAGAAGAGCAAAAACGTAACCAGGTGGACGCCCCAGGGCATCAGCGGCTGCCTCAAGCCAGGGGGCGGGACCCCCTTCTCCCCAGGTGACCCTCAGGGCTGTGGTCACAGCGCACTCTCCACCACTGCAGCTCTGGAGAGCCCGGGGCAGGAGCCGGTGGGGACGGCACACGCGCCCCTGCAGGCTGCTTTCTGCGGCATCAAGCATGCCGGCACGGGCAGGAGGAGGAAACTGAGTCTCGGGGGGCAGCTGGGACCTCCTCAGGGGCCCGAAGAAGGAACAGGACGTCAGGACATTCTGGCGGCTCAAGATAGGGCTGGCCACTTATGCTCTCCAGGCACCCAAAGTCCTCGTGAAAACAAGGGGAAGGGGCCCTGGCCTGCAGGGGCCTCGGGGCGCCCACGGCTGGGAAGGCAGCGCTCCAGGCATCCGGGATTCTGGACTCTGGAGACCCCCAGCGCCAGAGACTGGCTCCCCCCACCCAGGAGGCGGGCGGCGGGGCAGGACCCACCAGGTTGACGACGGCGACGGTGAGCACACCGCCGATGGTCAGGACGGCCAGGGACAGCCTCAGCAGGGGCTGCGTCTCCACCCTCTCGGAGATGGTCCGGAGCGCCCCGCGGGCTGGGCGGCACCTCTGCGGAGTAACGGGGTCCGGTCGCCCAGGGCCAGCAGCCGGGACAAGGAGGCCCAGGGAGGCAGGCCCCTCGGGAGAAGCCCCCAGGGCACTCAGCAAACTGTCCTCACGGCATGAGGGCAAGCGCCCAGCCCTGACCAGAGCCAGGGGCGCACCGGGGAGACAGGGCCACAGGGCGGGGCGCCCACTCACCGAGGGCTCACTGGCAAAGCACAGGCCCAGCACCAGCCCCAGCACACAGGCCACCAGCCCGAAGGACACACCCAGAGCCGCTGTCCTGGAGAAGAAGAAAAAACCTAAGTTCCAGTGGGTCATCTGCCCGGACCCCTCCCGTCATCCCAACTGTCTGGCTCACGGCCACCTGTCCCCTCCCACCTGCCATGCTGCCCACAGCAAAGGGGGTCTTTGAGAAGGAGGACTGTGGTCCAACAGCCCCACTAGGAACACACAGGCCCGGCCAAAACATGGAGAGCAAGGTCAACATCGCGTGTCCCTGTCGGGGCCAAGTACTTAAGAAATGAGTCGTGCCTGTACGGCCTTTAGACTCGTATCTGGCAGGTAAAAATCACGTACAAGTGTTCCCTACTCTGTCTCTATTAAGCACAACCAAAACAAGAATCTCGGTCAACCCTTTGGCCTAACTGCCCTTCTAGAAACCACCATGTGGCTGACCTTGTCCCCCAGCCCTGTCCGCCACCAACAGGGCCAGGAGCCAGAGACACGAGTCTCAGGGACTCCTGTTCCAGGCTGTGCCACCCTGGACAAACTATAACCCTCTGAGGCTCGAGGTCCCCACACGTAAAAGGCAGGTGACGCTGCCTACAGTTTTCGGGTTACCTTTCTAGGATTCCAAAACCTAAGGTGAGGGTCACCAACTAAAACGCCAACAGGCCACACAGCAGGTGCCTGGGGAAGTGAGAGGCGCTAGGGGCTGGGGGGCTGGGGCGCAGCAAGCACATTCCACTGAAAAGCAGTGCCGGTAACCCCAGGCGTGCAGCCACGACCCTGGCCCCACGCAGGGCCCTCCGCCAGCCAGCACCCCAGCCCAGTCGCGCCTCCTGCAGGGGCTCCGGTGGCCCCCAGGGCCCCGCCCCTCTGGCCAGGACCGCGGCTGGCTCGAGCCTCCTCGCCCCCCAGCTGACCTGGGCATCAGCAAGACGTGCACGAGCAGGATGCAGACGAACACGAGGCCGGCACAGGCGAAGTCGTGGCGGGCGCGGGGGATGGGCGCCAGGCGGTACTAGGGGCGACAGGACCGTGAGGGGCCACCGGCACACCACTGCCCCAGCCCCAGCCAGCTTAGAAAAGGCTCAGACCCCTCGTGGCCCGGGCAATGTTCCATTTCGTGACTTCCCTTCACTTCCACTTCGCAGCTGCTCCTTCATATTTGGAGGCAATTCCTTCCCTCCCCTGTGCCTGCCCAAGTCTGTGACTATTTCCAAAGTCCCTGCAAAGCTCCTGGCCCCAAGTCCACAGATGGGAACCGAGTCTGAGCTCCCAGGACTGCCCTCGCCCCAGCGAGGAGGGAGGCTGGGCCCGATGCACCCCGGCACCCAGCCCGATGCCCCAGGCAGGCTCCGCTGCGGGCGCAAAACCAGGCTCAGGGCCTGGCCAGGCGGCCTGCCGGGCACTCAGCCCGCAGCAAGCCCGCCAGGCTGGTGTCCAGTGACCTCCTCCTGTGGGGAGCCCCAGCTCAAGGAGCCCCAGTAAGAGGAAGTCCCCCAAGTCCTGGACACTGGCCCCACTTCCTTGGCCAAGGAGGGAGGGCTGCCGGCACTGGGGCCACGCGTGAGGCAGAGGGCGGCCCGAAGGCCCTGAGAGCCCGGCGTCCTTTCTGGGAGGTGGGAGAGCAGCACCCAGCCCGGCCACCACGTGAGGCCAAATGACAGGCACACACGTGCCTGGCACACTGCCAGCACCCAGAAGGCACTCAATAAAGAAATGGTCACGACTGGCACAAAAAGCTGGTCGTAGCAGCCCCAGACGGGAGAGCCTCCAGGGGCTTCGACACCTAGTCGGGGAGGCCCAGTCGGCTGAGCGCTGGCGGCAGCAGGGCCCGGGCGGGGGCGCGGGGGGGGGCGGGGCGGCAGGGCAGGCCGGGGGTGGGCTGCAGGCGCCAGGGCAGGGCCAGGGGGGGGGGCCGGGGGCAAGGGCGGGGCAGGGGGCGGCGGGGGGGGCCGGGCCCGGGCCAGGGGCGGGGGCAGGGGGCCAGGGCCGGGGGGCGCGCACGCGCGTCACAGCGATGCCTCCCACACGCTCCCAGACCCGCGGGCAGATCCCTGACGGCATCCCAAGTGGAGGCGGCCAGCGTGAGGGCCCCGAACCCGCCTGCCCCAGGAGCAGCTGCGCAGACCCCCGCCACCCTCCCTCACGCCCCAGCGACCCCGCGCTCCTCTGGGCTGGGGCGGCCCAGGCGCGCTCACCTCTCGCTCGAAGCCCTTCTCCAGGAAGATGGAGCCGAAGGTGTGGAAGTCGTGGGACTTGGAGCAGCAGGGCCTGGGGGCGGCGTGGAGACGGGCTGGGCTGCACCTTCACGGCCAGCGTCGTCAGGGAGGGGAGGGCCATCTGTGCCACGGCAGGGCCTGCCACGTGGGGGACCCCTCTACCCCCCAGGGGGAGAGGTCTCGGGGGTCTCACCTGGTGGAGCTGAGCCCCTCGATGGCCGACAGCATCTCGTCATCGTACGAGTCGTCCTCCGGCCGCCCCTTGGGGCGCGCGGCCCTGGGATGGGACACCCCACCACGTCACCCAGGGACCCGCATGCACCAGCCCCGAGGCGGGTGCGGATGAGAGCCGGCGAGGGCGCAGGCCCTGATGGTTCCCGGGGCCTCGTGCACGATGGTGGAGCGGGAGGTGCCATCAGCCAGCAAGGGCGAGTGAAGAGCCGGCCCAGCAGAGGCCTCGCCTGCTGCACCCACAGGGTGGGCATCGGGGCCAGAACATCCTCCTTCCCGCCGCCGGCCCCGCCACAGGGTAGGCACCCGACACGTGCCCGCTCGTGGCCACCCTGAGCAGCCAGGGGCCAGGAAGTGCTGGGTCCTAGAACCGCTGTGACTCGAGCGTGGTGAGCTCCACGCAGGTCCTGGGCTGGGCCTTGCGCAGCTGCCCCCGGACAGAGGCCAGTCAGGGCGGCCTGCCTGGAGGAAGTGGCTGCGGCAGGCTTGTTCAGGAGGGCAGGGCACAGCCTGGCAGAGGGGAGGGCAGCACACGCACCTGTCAGGGGTCCGGCGGTGCCGCAGGGGAATGGCCTGAAAGGGAAGGGAGGAGAGGACACGGTTATTCCCGAGGACGCTGGGCCCCGAGGTCCACGCTAGGGCTGGGTGTGCCCCTGGCACCCGGCACCCGGCACAGCGTCAGCTGGAACCACAGCTGAGCACCGGCAGGGACTGAGGAGCGCAGGGACACTCCCGGCCACCCTGGAGCATTCTCCAAACGCCCTGGCTTCCCCCGCGGCGCGGGAGGGAGGCGGGCGGAGACCAAAACCACCCTGCGCCTGGAAGGGAGGGCACCCACCTTGGTCCTCTGCCCACTGGGGACAGGGGTCTCGCCGCTGCTCACGCTCGCGCGGTGGCTGAGGTGCGCGAAGGGCCGCGCGGCGCCCCAGGACTCGAGGTAGCGGGTCACGCGCACAGACGCCCGCATCTTCAGCGCCGCGGCGTCCCCCTTGGGCCTGGGCAGGTGCTGGCTGGGCGGCGGCCGCTGGCTCTGCGGGCAGACCGGACGCGGGCCTGTGCCACCCCCCCCTGGCAGGGGGAGGGACGCCCCACCAGCTCTCCCCAGAACAGAAAACGGGCAAAAGGCGTCCCGGCCACCGCCCCTCGACCCTCGGAGCGGAGCGCAGCGCAGCTGCCCGGCAGGCAGGAGCCTGCGGCGCTCAGGCCAGGCTGCGGGGCGGGCGCTGGCCGAGCAGAGGCTGGCAGCCACACGCCACCACGCACAGCCCGACCACCTCCCCGAGCAGAGACACGCACCAAGGTCCTCAGCCTGAGGCCCCAGTGCCCCGTGAGGCTCCCTGGGCCAGACAGTCCTTGGGGCCTGCGCCCCCTTCAGCCCTGCCCTGCTGAGGCGCCCCAGGGAGACAGCCCCAGGGAAGCCACGGGCGTCCCGCCCCACCCCCACGTGGCCAGCACATGTGCCTCCTACCTGTGGGGGCAGCAGGGGAGAGGAGTGCTGGCCCCACCCCAGGGCAACACTGGGGGAGTGCACTTCAGCGGCCCCCAACCACGATGGCACGTGTCCGTCACCTGCCACATGCATACCCATGCCAGGGAGCTGGTGGCTGAGCCAGCGGGGCCACTAAGCCCAAGACCCCACAAGAACAGCATGCCTGAGGCTGCCCCAGTCTTGGTGGCCAGGCAGGACAGGAAAGGGGAGGGACGAGGAAGGCAAGCCTGTGCCATCTTGGGGTCTGCGGGGTGTCCCCTCAGCCCCCCAGACGTTCTCCTGCCCTCTGGGAGTCCTGCCTCCTGGGACCCCTGCAAGCCACAAACACACACTAAGCCACAACGGCAACCTTCCTGTAACTTCCAGCTGCCTTTTGGACAGAAACATTTTTAAGCCCTTAGCCGCACTGTCTGCCCAGCCTGAGGGAACCACATGCAATTCAGCACGCGGTGAGTGTCCCGGGGCAGGAGGAACATGCCGGACCCTAAAGGGAGCAGTCTTGCTGGGTGGGGGTAGGGGGCACGTTTCCATGGCCAGCAGCCCTGCCTGCACAACACTCTGCCACTCAAGTTCACGGCTGCCGCCACTTCTCTCAGAACCGGGAAGCCAGACACCCCGGTCCCTGAGAAATAAAAATAATGGTAAGCACGCACTAAAGACCCGCCATGGCCAGGCACAGGGCTCAGGCTTGTGACTCAGCACTCTGGGAGGCCGAGGCGGGAGGATCCCTGGAGCCCAGGAGTTCAAGACCAGCCTGGACAACACAGCAAGACCTCATCTCTAAAATATTTTTTTTTAATTAAAAAGATCCATCATATCTGAGTAAACACACAACTGTTCAGAACGGGCATGGGAATCCGTAGGAGCCCACAGCGGGCACCTGCAACCTCCACCAGGCCACGGGCGCCCGCTCTGGCCCGCCAGGGCTCCGCTGGGCCGCCAAGCACACCTCCTCACTCCCAGAGCGCACGAAGGCCGCCACCGGCGACCACGGGACCACCAGACAGGGGCCGCAGGTGAACCCACACAAGGGGGCACCAAGCGCATGGATGGGAACAGCCAGGCCAGTGGGGGCCAAGCGCAGTGGGGGCCAGGCCAGTGGGGGCCAGGCCAGTGGGGGCCAAGCGCAGTGGGGGCCAGGCCAGTGGGGGCTAAGCGCAGTGGGGGCCAGGCCAGTGGGGGCCAAGTGCAGTGGGGGCCAGGCCAGTGGGGGCCAAGCGCAGTGGGGGCCAGGCCAGTGGGGGCCAAGTGCAGTGGGGGCCAAACGCAGTGGGGGCCAGGCACAGAGGGGGCCAGGCCAGTGGGGGCCAGGCCAGTGGGGGCCAAGCGCAGCGGGGGCCAGGCCAGTGGGGGCCAGGCGCAGCGGGGGCCAGGCCAGTGGGGGCCAGGCGCAGCGGGGGCCAGGCCAGTGGGGGCCAGGCGCAGCAGGGGGCGCAGTCAGTGGAAACAGGCACAGCGGGGGGGGGGGCCAGGAGCAGCAGGGGGGCAGGCGCAGCGGGGGGAGGGGAGCAGGCGCAGGGGTGTGGCAGGCGCAGCGGGGGGCCAGGCCAGTGGGGGCCAAACGCAGTGGGGGCCAGGCGTGGGGGGGGCCGGCACAGCGGGGGGGCTTAGCAGGGAGGTGGCGCCTGCAGCTCACTGGCCCATGGGTCTCTCGCAAGAGACTCCGCCCCTTTGGTGGGACGTGCTGGCCCCGACAGGATGGGAGCAAAGCTCCCTGCAGCGTGGCTCCTGCCTTTTGAATCTTCAACTGCGCAAATGAATGAAGTTAAAAAGGTAGAGCTGCGGGGAGACGCAGGCCGCGGGTTCGGTGCCGCGCTTTGCCCAGACCCCACCCACGCGTGTGCGAGCCCCGTGGGCTGGGCTGGGCTGGGCTGGGGAGGGCTCTGCTTCACCCATTCCAGAGCCGCCGGCGCCTGCCCGCCAGCGCCCATCAGGCTCGGCAGAGCCTGGAGGGGACCCCACCCTCCGAGCTCTCGCTGCCGACACTGAACAAGGAGACAGGGTGAACGGCCCCTGGCAGGGCGAGGGGCGGCCTGGGGCAGGGCTAGGGGCGAGGGGCGAGGGGCGGCCTGGGGCAGGGCTAGGGGCGAGGCGCGGCCTGAGGCAGGGCGAGGGGCGGCCTGGGGCAGGGCAGGGCGAGGGGCGGCCTGGGGCAGGGCAGGGCAGGGCGAGGGGCGGCCTGGGGCAGGGCAGGGTGAGGCGCGGCCTGGGGCAGGGCGAGGGGCGGCCTGGGGCAGGGCAGGGCAGGGCGAGGGGCGGCCTGGGGCAGGGCAGGGCAGGGCGAGGGGCGGCCTGGGGCAGGGCAGCTGAGGTGAGACGAGGCCGGGCTGGGCAGGTGGGCAGGAGAGCTCAGGAGGGGCTGTGGGCTGGGCCGGGGCCGGGTCCAGGGCGAGGGGCAGCCGTTTTGGGGGCGGGGTGGGGGCAACAGGACCCCCATACCCGGCAGACCCACTGGGTTTCCCACCGACTGGCAGGACTGGTACCGTGCCACAGGGCCCTGGGGAGTGCTGGCAGGATGGAGTCCAAGGGGACGCGGCAGGCCAGAACCAGGCCAGCAGCGTGCGGGCGCCTCACAGACCGCCCCTGGGCCCCGCCTGGCAGTCCGGCCAGCCCCGAGGCACGGCCAGGCCGAGTGACAGGGAGCTGGAAAGCAGGGCTCATTCCTGAGCAAGCCCCAAGGGTGATTCACAGAGCGGCCAGACGGGCTGGCCTCCCACACGCGGCTGGGCGCGGGCGGCAGACAGGCCAGGCGGGGCTCCGCGGCAGCCCCCCACCACGGGCTCCTGGGCCGGCCAGGCAGCCGCTCAGGTCAGAGCCCGGGACACGCTCAGGGCCCTGCCCAGTGGCTCCCTGGCCACGCCCTGCCCTCTCCAGTCTTGCCCAGAGCATGTTTTGAAAATGTGTCTTTTGAAAGTCTGGGAGATGAGTAACAGCCTGGTGGAAAACACGCTAATAGCGACTGTTATTCATCGAGCGCTCACAACACGCGGGCACGCCGAGGGCCTCGCCCGGTGAGCTCCTTCCCCAAGGCAGGCCCAGGGGTCGTTCCCATCGCACAGAAAAGCTTGCTGAGGCCCAGGGTGCCTAGAATACACCCAGTGATGGGGAGCTCTCCCCTGCGCCAGCCAGGCCCCTCTCCACCTCCCACAGCCTGGAGAAGAAAGCACTCTCCCCCCACTGGCTGTCGCGGGCGCCCCCAGCCCCGCCCAGCCTGCTGCGTCTGAGCACCCGTACCCGGGGGTCGATGACCAGGTAGGTGCGGATGTTCATCTCCTTCAGGTAGGGGTCACGCTCCTGCCCGTGCCCGTCCTCCACCTCGTACGCCTTGTCCAGGTGGTTCAGCGTCGCCTCTGTGATGTGCACCCGGCTGGGGGACCCCCAAGTCAGGCAGAGCAGCAGGCCCAGAGAGGGCTGCACCCACCTGGGGACGCACAGCAGGCAGCCCAGGCAGGGCCGGGCGTGCCCCCTGTGAGGTCGCTGATTTTGTCCCCTTCCTCCACACCTGACCCCACCCAGAGCCCGAGTCCGCCCTGGCCTCTGCCCCCTGCTGCCCTGCCCAGCCTCCGAGCCTCACCCGGGGACTCCGGCCGCCTCCATCCTGTTGGCCAGGGACACGTCGTGGGACCACACGTCGTACTGCCACTTGCGCAGCCCGATGACTCCGCACAGCACGTTCCCCGAGTGTATGCCCACGCGCATGTTGATGTCCACGCCCGTTGCCTCCCGCACCTGCCTGGGCAGAGCGGCGGTCACGTGCCCCTGGAAGGGCTGCTGGGGGCACCCCAAACCCCGGAGAGGCCGGAGGCCCGGGCGTGGGCGTGGCGTGGGGAGGGCATGGGGTCGCTGTAGCCGTGCGAGGGCCTAGGTGCCATCACTGGGACCCTCCCCACCTAGCAGCGCTGGCTGCGTGCCAAAGGGTTCTGGGGCCGGGTGTGGGCAAAGGCAATAGATGTGGCCTAAACGTTTGCACCCCTGTAATATGCTGAAATTAAAAGCCTTTTTAAGAAAAGGCGTTTGGGGTCTCCAGAGGGGGCCGGGCACCACCCAAAACCCAGCATAGATGAGAAACACAGGGCCAGCCCCTGGGGCCTCTGTGCTCCCCGAGGAGGAGCCCTGCAGTCACTGGCACCACTCAGTACGACAAGCCCCAGGTTAGAGCTTCCCGGATGCCAGGGCACCCCCAGACACAGCAGGGCCTCTGAGTCCCTGTGACAAGTGGGTAGGGCCAGGGGAGCAGCCGGCACGTGTCCACTGCTCCAGCCAGGGATGGACCAGGCCTGCCGGGGCCAAAGCCGGGAAAGCAGAGGGGCCCGTACGGCCTTCACATGTTACGGGGCGGGGACCTGCCCAGAGTCCCAGGCAGTGGCACAGAGCCAGGCCCTTCCAGCGCTGGCCAGGGTTCCTCCTGGCAAAACTGCCACTTCCAGTGAGACTCAGGAGACGGGCAGAGACGGAGCTGGACTCGCACCCCGAGCCCACCACGCCGGCACCACCTGCTGGGCAGCGAGTTTTTCCCACAGGGCCACTGAGAACCGTGCGGGAGCTGGATTCTGGCAGGACGGAGCCCGGGAGGCTGTGGTCCCCTGCAGCCTGAGTCTGTCCCCGACCCGATCAGGACCTTCCCAGGGGCCGCAGTGAGCAGCTGGGCCGTGGGACTCAGCAGACCCTGCGCGGTCCTCCTGCCGCTGCCAGGCGCCTGGGCGGGGAGGGGGCCCACCGCCCTGTCCGCACGCCACCGGCTCTGAGCTTCCGAGACGCTCCAGGACTCGGAGCCACAGGCAGGCCCAGGAGACGCAGACGGCCTGGGTTCAGACCCAAGCATGCCGCGTGGTCCCCACAAGCCACCGACACCCAAGCCTCAGTGCCCTCATGTGTACAACAGGACCGCACGTCCCCACCGCCCCGCCTGTCCTGCACCTACTTAATGGCCTCGCACATGTCCAGCCCCATCTTCACGCAGTTCCGGGCGTGCGTGGGCAGCGACACGGGCAGGCCGGACACGCAGTAGTAGCAGTCGCCCAGGATCTTGATCCGCATGCACTCGTGGGCCTGCGGGGCGGGGAGGCCGGGTTGGCAAAGGCTGGGGCTGGGGCCACACCCGCCGGCCACCTCCCCTTGCCCAGCGTGAGCCGGGCTCCCTCCCAGCCAGGGGCTGCCTCCTGCCAGCCACCAGGAGTAGCTTCAGGGCCTGGCAAAAGAACTGGGGACACGGGGCCTCTCCAGGAGGGACCCCAAGCCAAGCATGGGGTGAAAGCAAGTATTCCCCGGGGGGAGGGGCTGCCTTTGTTTCATTTGTCCGTGTAATGTCTGAGTGCCTACTGCACACCCAGCCCTGGGCCAGGCAAAGGACAGAGCAGTGAACAAAATGGAGCTCACGTGCTGGTGGGAGGGTCGGACGCCAAACTAGGCAAACGAGATCTACGGCGTGCCCACCAGTGGTCAGTGCTAAGGAGAAACGTGCGGCCCGGGACATGAGAGATGTTCCCAGGAGGCCAGAGAAGGCAGCCTTCGAGCAGAGACCCCAAGGGGCCAAGGGCGCCAGCGGGCCAGCATGTGGCGGAAGGGTACTGCAGGCACGTGCCAAGGCCCTGAGGCCAGGGGGCTGTCTGAGGCACAGCAAGGCAGCCAGGGCGGCTGAAGAGGAATGGATGGGGGAGACAGGACAGAGGTAGCAGGTGCAATAAACCAAGAGGTTGGCAGGTGCCAAGGTGACCCAAGAGATGGCCAGGCTACTGGGGCTTGGGGAGGGCGAGGGGGAGCCAGAGAAGGGCGAGTCTGGGTCTCAGAGGAAAATGCCCAGGAGGGCTGCCTGGGGTTCCACCTGAGGGGGTGCAGCAGCCACCGGACCCTCCATGTCTGCAGCAAGGGCAGCTGCAGCACGAGGGAATCTGGGGACTGGGTGCAGACACCTGCCATGGCTCTCCCGGCCCCACCTGCCCGCCCCACGCAGCTGACCCTCTGGGACTAGCAGGTGGCCGCGCCCTCACTCCTGGTGGGGACGTGCCAAGGTGGCTCCCTCCTGCAGGGTCCCTGGGGCCAGGCTGCCCCTAGAACACCGCCAGTCTGCAGGTCTAGAGCGCCCGTGCCGTCCACTCCCACGCCCAGCCAGGCCCACGGACAGACCGGCTTTCCCTGCCCCCGCCCAGCCTTTGTGAACAGCCCCTTTCTGAGCCCTCCTCCAACTGCTCCATCTGCGCGTGTGCCAGGTGCTTCCTGCTGGGCCCCGCCTGGCACTTGCTGAGCTCTGAGTGGCCGAAAAGACACGGGACAGTGCTTTCCTAGAAAGCAGGCAGCCTGGAGAGGGTCTGGATGCCCCAGTGCTGACTCGGGGCTCCGGCCACCTGTGTCCCCTTGGCCAGGCACAGGGCTGCCCCCGAACCCAGGCCACACGCTCCCGGCTGCTCCTCCACTGGCCGACAGGTTCCCGCCTGTCAGAGAGGGAGGGAGGAGTTCCCCGAGCACAGGGGCAACAGATGCCTCTCAATGAGGCCCTGGCACGTAGGAGGAGGCCACAGTTCTGGAATCTGATCGCTGATAGGGAAAAGGCTGGGACCAGCCCTGTCTGGGGACCGGACGCTCCGACTGGGAAGCTGGCCCTGCCACAGCCTCCCTTCCCCCACCTGCAGCGTGGGGCAGGGCCTCCCAGGCCTGCGAGGGTGGGAAAGCCATGCTCACGTGGGCAAAGGACAATCCTTGTCCTTCATGGTAGGGAAAGGGCCAGCTGCAGCCTGAGACTCAGGTCCCCTGCCTCCCATGTGGCCCACCCTCTGGGGGCTCCCAGCAGCTAGTGTGGAAGTCACACAGCTCCTGCCCCTAAAGGCAGGGTCCAGGCTAGACAGGCCCTCTGAGTCACTAAGTCCATGGAACCCAGGATGGGACAGCTCTCCAGAGCACCTTTGGCCAGTGGTGTCCTACAGCAGTTTGGTTACCCCCTGTGATGGGGAGCTCACTGCCTGCAATGGGGAGCCCACCCCTAGTCCCTCCTAGGATTCACCAGCTCTGATCATGAAAAATTCTTCCCAGCGTAGGGCCAGAACTTGTCTCCCATAAAGTTCTAGACCACTGGTTCTGTGAACAGAGTCACCTGGGAAGGCTGTTGAAAACGCTGATGGGTGTGGGCAGCGGTGTTGGTGCTTCATTTAAGCTTTCGATGTGATTCAAATGCGCAGCCGAGAAGGGGCCGCTGCCGTACACCTTGCACTGCAGTCTCTACTTAGCAGCCACTACTTCCAGGGAGCCTGCCCTGACCACCTGAGGCCGCGCCGGGTGCTCCCCAGCCCCCGGCCTCTTGCTCCTCACTCCTCTGCACAGCACAGACGCGCGGGCCGGGAGCACGCCGAGGGCAGGCGGGGGCCCACGGCTCAGAGCCTGGTGCTCCGCGTGTCTCAGGGCCGAGTGGGCCACGAACAGAAACCCTCCTTGCCCCGTGCCCCTCCCTGCTCGGCACCTGCCACGCTCCCAGCATCCTCAGGACACGCCCCAGCCCTCACGTCCTGGAACCACGTGACCTTGTCCCCTCACTCCATTCCACGCACACCGGGCCACGTCCCCCTCCCCCCACCCCCCGGGCACACGCAGCTTTCCTGCACACGCTCCGCCCAGAACCGCTCCCTCCCCCAGCCCTCTCTGCGGGTCTCTCAGACTCCAAACGTGCCCTGCCGCCTGCCAGGGCCGGACCCCACAGTGCTCCCGGCTCCCAGGTCGTCCCGGGCTGCTCCCTGGCACGCACGGGGAAGAGGCCGTCTCCTCCCGCCTCCCGCCTCCCGCCTGCGTGCTCCTCCCCGCCAGCCTCACACTGCGGGGAGGGGACGGGGTCTGGCTGCTTGGCCGCCACTCGACCCCCACCTCCCCACGGTGCTCGGAAGCGTCTGCGCTGGATGCCGAAGTCGGCCACCGTGTCCCATCCGAGGCGGGCGGGTGCGGGCTGCACCGCCTGGCGTGACGGCAGGCGCCCGGCGGCTCACCTTGGCGATCTGGTCGAACTTGCCGAAGAGCTCGTTCAGCACCACCACCAGCTCCTTGGGGGAGCAGTCGCTGGCCAGCCGCGTGAAGCCCACGATGTCCGCGTAGAGGATGCTGCGGCGGGCGGAGGAGGTCAGAGCCGGCCCGGAGAGGGCAGCAGGGCCCTGGCGACCGCGCAGAGCCCGGCGCCCAGCGCTTGGCTCTTCCTCAGCCTCCGCAGGCACGGGAGACGGCCCGGCACGAAGACAAATCCAAGTTCCCGAGCTTCGTGACGAAGCAAACGGAGCAGACCCTGGAGCCCGCGGAGCCCCCAGACCCCACCCGGCCCGCACCCGGACGCCCGGACGGTGCCCGCACAGGCAGCCCAGACTCCGCCTGCTTTCCAGCGCTGGAAGTTCGCCTGAAGCACGACTTGGGACCAGACTCCCTGGTGACATGCGACTCCCTGCTCTCTCAAGCCAGCCTCCGTGCCCAGTGCTGCACACCGCGTCCTCACACAGCCCTGCAGGACTCCTGTCCTCCAGGGGAGCAGACTAAGGTTCAAGGAGGTTGAGACTCGCTGGAGGCCAAGAACTTCAATTTGCACTAGATCGCCCTGCTCCAAAGTCTGTGAGTCATGGACCATCCGTAGCCCGGCCAAAAAGGGGCCAGCCTCAGACATAAATAATGCTGAGCCTTCTGGCAGAGGACCCAGGAGCAGTTCACAGTGCCCACATCTACACCTAACAACAGCTCACAGCGCCCGCATCTACACCTAAGAACAGTTCACAGCGTCCACATCTACACCTAACAACAGTTCACAGCGCCCACATCTACACCTAACAACAGTTCACAGCGCCCACATCTACACCTAACAACAGTTCACAGTGCCCACATCTACACTTAACAGTTCACAGTGTCCACATCTACACCTAACAACAGTTCACAGTGCCCACATCTACACTTAACAGTTCACAGTGTCCACATCTACACCTAACAACAGTTCACAGTGCCCACATCTACACCTAACAACAGTTCACAGCGCCCACATCTACACTTAACAGCTCACAGTGCCCACATCTACACTTAACAGCTCTCAGTGCCCACATCTACAGTTAACAGCTCACAGTGCCCACATCTACAGTTAACAGCTCACAGTGCCCACATCTATACTTAACTCAGGTCAGTGCATTCAAGCAGCCAGCCCCTTTGAATCAGCCAAGGACAGTGTCAGAATTAGGGGCTCCTCCTCACTGAGCGATAGAGGGCCTCACCTCCTTTTGGAGGTCCGGCACCCCTCTGAGAACCATCTGGAAGGACCCTTTCCTTCCTAAAAATCATGTTTGCTCGCAGAGTTTTACAATTCTGGAGGCTACTGGACCAATCTGAGTTCTCTAGTCTAAGACCCTGATCTGATCCTAACTCTGGGGACAAAGGGGGAGACTGAGGCCCAGGGAGGGAGGGGCCTGGAATGACCTGGGCCAGGGGCCCTTCTCCCCAGTCCCGGTGTGGCCTGGGGTCTGAGCCTCCACACAGAGCAGGGAGGCTGCCTGCCGGGGCAGGGAGTGGTGGCCCCGCCGGGAGACAGGGCACACAGGCACCGCCAGGCCACGCCCACCTGACGTTCTGGTGCCGCTTGACGTAGAGGCTGTGGAAGTTGTTGTCGGGCAGGTGGCGCCGGTCCCCATGCTCCTTGAGCCGCTCGATGATGGCCAGCTTCATGCCCATGGAGATGTGGGCCGGCAGCACGGACAGCAGCAGGTTCTCCTGGGCAGGGAAGCAGACGGGCCGGTGGGGGCGGGCGGGTGGCATCGGGCCACAGGCCTGGCCTCCGCAGCCTCCGCCTGCCCTGTCCACCTATGCATTCTGCCCTCAGTGTCCCCATCCCTGCTGGCTCATGTCCTGCCACCAACCCGGCTGGGCACCCATCCCCACGGTGCCAGCAGCCCCGGGGACTCAGGCTGGGTGAGAAAGTTCTCTTTCCGCCGGCGGCTGAGCGGATGGGCGGGCGACGCGGGGCTGCCGCAGCCTCCTCCGCCCCAGCCGGGGACGGCGGGAATGAGACCGCGCAGAGGAAGGCAGAGCCAGGAGTGCAGGCGCTGCTGTCCCCAGCTGGCCGGGGCGAGCCCCGCATGGGCGTCCGGCCCCACGCTTGACGCACACAGCTGCTCGCCGAGCGTCCGTTCCCGCAGCGAGAGGAAGCTCGGGGCTGGGCGGGGTGTGCAGGGTGCGGGCTGCCGGCCACGAGGGTGGGCCAGGGAGGACTAGGCAGGGGCCAGGCCGTGGCTCCGGGTGGAGGCGGGGTCCCACCTGCTGGCGCTTCTCAATGCGCAGCTTGCGGCGGGTCTGGATGCACTTCACGGTGTAGGTGAAGAGGTCCCGGGCGGCGTCCTGCATCTGGTGCTTGTGGAACGCGCCCGTGAGGTTCCCGCACAGGAAGATGACAGCATTGGCCAGCAGCTGCGGCCAGCCGAGAGCGGGGCTCAGCTTCCGGCCCGGCCCACGTCCCTGGGCACCCGCCCGCTGGGCACACTGGTATGGTACACTCCCCGTTCCCCGACCCCAAACCGCTCCACTGGCACTCTCCCTAGGACAGGCAGGGAAACTGAGGCCCAGGCAGGGGCTGGTCTCTGTGTGAGTCACCAGGCCTACACGATCAGGACTCAGGCCCCTCTCCGCATCCACCAGGCACTTGCCCTGCCCAGGAGGGCCTGGGCCCGGGAGGCAGGGGGGCAGAGGCAGCCACCCGCCGGGCCGCAGCCCGCCCCACTCCAGCCCTGCCTCACCTGCAGTGCCGCCTGGACGCTGGGCGTGGAGAAGGCCCCCGTCAGGGCGCCGAGCACCAGCAGGTGGGAGGCGGTGGAGACGGCGCCCACGGCGACGGCGGCCCGCGTGCTGAAGGGCAGCAGTGTGTACACCACGAAGACGACGAACAGGAAGAAGGGCACCTGGGGACGGGCCCCGTGAGCTCGGCCCAGCCACGCGCCAGGCGAGGGACACGGCCTGGCGAGCTGACGGCGGGGCCCACAGCCTCCCGTCTCCTGGGGCGACCCCAGAAACCCAAGTCCTAAGCCCTTCAGCCCCGGAACCGGCCCATGCCGTCCCTCCGTCCTGGGGCCAGGCCCTGTCCTCTGCCCTGCACGCGACACACAGCGGCAGGCACAGAGGGACAGAAAGTCCAAATTGTGTTTCTGGGCAGCCAAGGCTGCGCCTCCCCAGGAGTGAGGCTCCTGCCCCGTGACCCGGGGTGCGCACCTGGCACCCTGCGCCCTGTGGCTGGCCCTCCAGGACGGCCAGCGCTGGGAGGCCGGCAGGGCCCGCTCACCTGCTGGCCGCGACAGCGCAGCCCCTACCCTGCCCGCAGCCAGCTGCCACTCTGCAGTTTCCGTGGGCCCCGCCCCCACCCTAGCAGCCACGGGAGTGGTCATACGACTCCGGCCACCGGTCAGAGCATGCCACCACTTGGTGACAGTGGCCACCCAGGGCTGGGCCTAGTGATCCGGGCAGGCCGTGTGGCTTGAGCCTGGGCTGAAGCTCACTACGGAAGGGCTCTCGGCCAGGCTGGCCGCGCCACGGGGTGAGCGAGGCTTTCCCTTCCCGGTAGGCGGCATGGAGGAAGCGGGTCGGGAGCCGCAGGGCCTGCTCGCCCGCCAAGCCGGCCGAGCCCTCACCTCCCCTGGCACGGAGCCGGCTCGCACCTTTGTGCCTCCCGGAGCTGGAGTCTGTCGTCCCCCACCAAGCAAGGGCCCCGAGAGCCACAGCCAGACCTCGGGCAGGCGCTCCCTCCTCAGCCCCAGCGGCCAGAGCGTGGGGACAGGAGCACGAGGCGGCGAGGCCGCGGCGGCACGCCGAGCGCAGGCCCGTCCTCCCCCAGGGCCCTGTGGCCCACAAGGGCAGCGGCTGCTGAGGGCACACTGGCTGGAGGCACCTAGCCCCGGCGCCGAGCCCCACCGTTACCTGGTCCCACGCACAGGCCGCGTCCGTCCACGCGTCGAGCACCAGCACGTAGCCCAGCGCCACCAGGCAGGCCCAGGCGAGCAGCGCCCAGGCGCTGAGCCACCGCCGGAGCAAGCACTCGGTGCACACCAGCACGTAGAGGGCCGCGAACACCACGAGCGAGAAGAACGCCGTGCCCAGCACAGCCTGCTGTCCAGACGGGTCCTGGGGGCGGACACACGCGGAAACGCCTCAGCTTTCCCCAGCAGGCCGCCGCCTCCTCCAGGAAGCCTGCCCGGGTCGGCTGCCCAGCTGCCCTGACCAGACTCGCCTCTGACATCCTCCACGTGGGGGACGCCAGTGCTCTCCCGACGCCTGGTTCTTCCTCGCCCCAGGCCTTGCTCGTGCTGTCGTGTCTGCTAGGGCTGCTGCGCCCGCCCTCTCCGCCAGCTCAGGATCCCGGGCGCCCTCCACAGCCCAGCCCGCACCGCCACTGCCCGCACCCCGCACCCACCCTGCGAGGCGGCGCTGTCGCTGCTGCAGTGGGGCGTGAGGACGGGGCACGGGGTGGGGCCTACCCACAGGCACAGCCTTGGGGCCACCCGGAGAGGGGGCCGGGCTCCTGCTCCCAGCGGCCCAGCAGCGCCCGTGAGGGCAGACTGGCAGCGGTGTCTGCCTGGCCGGGTAGGAGGGTGCCGAGGCCACGGCCTGGCTCCGCGGGAGCGGGGCTGACTCGTGCCTGCCACGCCGGCCAGGAGGGCAGAGACACACGGGCGCCCTGACGGTCTTCGGCAGACCCAATCTCATCGTGGCGCAAACGAGGGTCGTTTATTCGGCCAAGTTAATGTCGCATCTAGAACCACCCTGGACTCAGAGCTAAATAAAAGAACCCGCCTCCCACCGCCCGAATGAGCCTGCGGAGGCTCGCGGCCGCACTCACCCCGCGGCTGAAGGCGATGACGATGAGGGCCGCGCAGGCAGACAGGGCCACCAGCAGGAGCGTGAGCAGCAGCGGCCCGTGCTGGCTGGTGAGCCGGTACTTCTCGTAGAGCGCGTCCTGGTCCGGAACCTCCTCGCCCTCGTTAAGGAGGTAGCGCCCCTTGGCCGGCATCCTCTACGCTCGCGCCGCCCGGAGGCCCCAGGCCTGGGCACGTATGCGCTGCAGCTCCCGTGGGCCTAGACCTGCGGCCGGCGAGAAGCCCCGGGCGCCCGCAGCTCCATGGGCAAGGCGGGCCAGGCGGCTCCCGCACTCGGGTCCCGAGCTCTGCGGAGACAAGCAGACCCAGACCTGGACCTCGATGGCCACGTCGGGGAAGGGCTGGCAGCAGGGCCGAGCAGCCCCAGCCTCGCAGCACCTGTGTCTGACCTGCCGGTCCTTACCCTGGCTAGCTTTTACGTCCTGTTCAAAGCTTTGCCCACCCGCAGGTCGTAGAGCGAGTCCTCTGTGTTCTCTAGAACTGCACTGTTCAGCACAGTAACCACTAGCCACAAGTGGCTATTTTAAGTAAAGTCTAAATTCATGAAAAATAATATTTAAAATTGAATCCCTTGTCGCAATAGCCACATTTCGAGTGCTCGGCAGCCACACGCAGCTGGCAGCCCCGGTGCTGGGCGACACGGACACAGAGCACTTACGTCCTCACAGACACTTCCAGGGCCAGCACTGCTCTGCAGCTTTCACTGTTTGACCTTCACACGTAGGCCTTCAACCCATGCCATCTCGTTCTGTGTATGCCGAGAGGCAGGGATCAATGTTCATTTCTGTTTTCCGGGCGGATATCTAACTACCCCAGCAACGCTCAGTGCGCCGACCGCCCTCTCCTCTCTGAACTGCAGTGGAGCCACCTCTGCTGGAAATCAGGTGCCCACGCACGTGGGGTCTGCTTCCTGGTTCTGTTCTGTCCCCACGGGCCTGGTGCAAATGCCGTGTTCACCAGATTACTGGGGCTTTGCAGTAAGTCTTGTGCCTCCAGGTCCAGAGGGTTTCAAGCTGTGATCCTGGGAGCCCTGGGATCCGGGGACGTGTCTCAGGGCCCAGATGGGATGGGGCGGTGGAGGGACACAGGCTCAAGCCCCCACGAGCACTTTGGCCAGGGCATCCTCCCACATCTATGTTACATTAAGCTTCCACAAAGACCACATTTTCTCCAAAATAGATTTGAGAAGTTTGCAAGCCCACTTCACACAAAAGGAAGCTGAGTCTCAGAGAGGGCACACAGTGGACTTTTTGTAACAAAGTTGGGAGAAGACCCCAGGATTGCAACGCGGAGCCCAGCTGGGCTCCCTCTTTCCCCAGCACCATTCACTCCTTAGCACATTCATTTATTCCAAAATGGCTTGTCCATCGCACCTATGGCCTGCCAGCCGCTACAGCTGCGTGCAGGCCGGCGCTCTCCCCTCAGGGCTCCCAGTCTGTCTCCAAAGGGAGGAAGTTAACAACAATGTGCAGCCCACACACAGAGCAGTCAGGGCTTGGGGACAGCTGCCATACACCCAACAGGAACTCTGCACTACGTGAACAGCCGTGGACCAAGAGTCTAGGCCCCCGCGTCCTCCAGGCCTGCCTTGGATGAGGGACAGGCTGGAGGCAGAGGGCGAGGAGGCCGAGAGGCATGGGAAGGCTCAGGGTAGTCACAAAGGGCACAAATGACCAGCCGCCAGCACAAGCTGCAAAGGAAAGGGGGTCCAGAGGAGGGAAGGCGGCCAGGAGAGCCCAAAGGCAAATGAGCAGGGTACCCAGAGTCCCTGAGTGCAAGGGAGGAGCCAATCAGCACCCGCTGCTGGGCGGTCCCGGGGCTGCCTCAATTCCAGCAGCCACCCTGGGCTCTTCTTCCCCGAGAAGTCGCTGGACCCTTACCACAAACCCCAGGAATAAAATGGGGAAACTGCATATTTGGGAGTGGAATGAGGGGCCATTCGCCAGGGATTCTGGCTCCTTCCGTGCCTGGGCAGGCGTCCACGGCCCTTGGCACCTGCCTAACAGGGGCGACACCTCGAGGGTCGAGCCCAAGCCTGCTCAGTGTCCACGGCGATTAGACAGCTACAATCTGGTTTCTGCATGAAAGAATGATTTTTTAAATGTTGGCAGCTTATTTTAAAATTTTAAGTGATGCAGCCCACTACTTTACAACCTCTTAATCTAAACGAATCAGCCTTTACTCCACAAGAGGCATTTACTGAGCACTAAACATCTACGCCCAACCCCATGCTGTGGGGTTTACAAAACGACACAAGGTTCCTGCCCTCCACCCCTTCCTGGACTCTCGGGCACCCTAAATAGCTCCTTGTAGTCACAAGATCAGCTACTCCTGTCACACCCAGTGTCCACCCTCTCACCCCCTCTCATCTTCACAACATGCTAAGGCGCTGTCACCATCTTATAGATTCAGAACTGAGCCCAGAGAGGCAGAGTGGCTGCCTAAGGTCACACAGCTGAGGCTGGCAGGCAGAAGGGCTGGGACCCAAACCCAGGTCTGCCAGCTCCCAGCCCAGGCTTCCCCAGCCCAGGCTTCCCCAGCCCAGGCTTCCCCCAGACGTCCCACGGGGCTGACCCAGATGCCACAGCACACAAACAGCAGCACCGCCTGCCCCTGTGGCCTGGGACCAAACACCAGTGCCCCAGATTGCCAGGCTAAGCAGCCCCAACCACCAAAGGGCGGGCAACTCCCCGCAGCCGCTCCGTCCTCCAGGCAGAGCCTCCAGGCCCGAGCCGTGGGCAGCAAGGACATACACATGCAGGCGAGACAGTGCAGGCACATGCTCACACACACGTGCTCACACACACGCACAGGCGAGAGAGTGCAGACACGTGCACACACACGCATGCTCACACACCGCAAGCGAGTGCAGACATGCACTCACACGCAAGCAGGAGAGTGCAGGCACGTGCACACACACGCATGCTCACACACACGCAAGCGAGTACAGACATGCACTCACACGCAAGCAGGAGAGTGCAGGCACGTGCACGCAGACACACACGCTCACGCACACGCACACGCACACGCTTACCCCTGCCACCCTTCGTCCCCCAGACACTGACCTGCCCTGCCAGGCACACAGGCCAGGCGGAGTCGGGCACGGGGAGAGAGGAACCAGCGGTGGGAAGCCAGGCCTGGTAAACTCTTCTCGAGGGTCTAATGAGGCCACTTCCCGGAAACAGCAGGCAGAAAAGAGGCACACAACGGACAGCCCTGGGCACAAGGACGTCAGCCCATCCAGGGACCTCGTCCAGTCCTGGAACAAGTCAGGCAGCGTGGGGCACAGCTGGCCTGGGAGGAAAGAGGTCACCTGTCACTCATCAAGACATGGCCAGGAAGCCACCAGCGACGGGCACAGGCCAGCTCCCCTCCGGGACCCCCCAGAGCCAGGTCAGAGTACCCGCCAGGGAGGGCTCCAGGCCCTGTGCGATCACGAGTTGGGCGGCCAGTCGCTGACCCGGCTGCCAGCGGAGGGCCCCTCTGAGGCCCCGGGCAAAGGCCCTGCTTTGCCACGGCCCGCGGCCCCCGTGTCCCGCGACCCCCACGTCCCGCAGCCCCCGCGGCCCCGGCTTGCAACCTCAGTGATAGGGAGCTCATCAGCGCTCAGCCTTCCTCACTGGGCACCTTCTCCGTCAGGTCAAGCCCCCCTCCCTGTCACTTCCCCACCTGCACCCCTCTGGGCCTGGCTGAACTCAAAGCCACCAGGAGCAGGGAAGAGCACCTGGGGAGTCAGGGCCCCTTCACTCGGGACTCGCAGGGGTCCCCCACTGCCACTCACACCTCATGACCACCCCATGTCACAGAGGAGGGGGACCCCACCACAGTCCACTTGGGGGAGAGTGTGTCCTGTTTCTGCTGGGCAATGTCCCCACCCCGATCAGGGGCCACAGGCCCCCGGCATGGCTGCTCAGCATGGTCTCCGCCAGCCCGGCAGCCGAGATCACCCCAGTGAGGACCCTCTTTGGGACTTCTGCTGACGCGGGGAGACAGGGGTGTCTCTTTTCAGTGGCCCGCGGCTGCTGGCACACACCTGGGCCCCTAGGAGAGAGCCAGCCTGAACGCAAAGCTGACAGGGAGAACCAGAGACACGGGCCTAGCGACGCCCCCTGGAGCCCCTGGAGCCAGCTGTGCCTGAAGCTCCAGCAACCAGAAGGAACTTCGATCAATGCCCCTTTCAGCTTAAGCCAGTCTGAGCTGTCACTTGCAACTGAGAGTCCCAAAGTCCACGCCGGGCTTCCTGAGCCAGGCTGCCATGTGCAGGAAGCACTCGAGGCTCCTCCGCGGGGCCAGAGTGCAGGAAAGGGCCCCTGTGGCACAGAGGGGAGGACGGGCCCTGCACACACAGCCGCCCGGCTGAGACCACCTCGCCAGGGAGGGCCACTGCCATCCCCCCCTGTCACCACATCCCAGGCTCCACAGCCCTGGCCCAGCCAGGCTGCAAAGGACCCAGGGCAGCAGGCAGGTGGAGGCTCCCACGTCCTCTCCGGTGACCTCCAGAGACCCTTCCCTTCCCGCGGGGGACTGGGGAGCCCAGGGCACAGTCAGGTGTGAGCTGAGTGGCCGAGGTGGGCACGCCAGGTCCTGCGACACAGCAAGAAACGAAACCTCCTACGTTCACCGCACACCCGGGCCTGTGAGCCCCGCGGGGCCCCACGCCTGCCCTGTGGCACGGCCGCTGCCCACCGTGTGGCTGTGGGCACCGAGGCACAGAGACCTGGGTCCCGGGCCCGTGGTCACACGGCCAGTGAAACGGCGCTGGGGTCTCCACACAGGCCACCGGGGCCGCCTCTGGTCCTGCCATCACCCTCAAGGTGCTGGCATCCAGAACGCCCATGGCATCCCAAACACCAAGCCCGTCCTGCCCCCACAAGGCCAGACAGCGCTACACCCTAGAGCGTGGCGGCTGAGCGGACCCGTCACAACAGCCCTCTGCCTTTCTGGAGCAAGGTGCCGCCAGCGAGCTCCACGAGGGCCTCCCCCTCCAGGAAGCCCTCTGAGCTACCCCCACACACCCTCTTCTCCCTTCCCTGTAACCAAGACAGGACCATGGGCTCCCCACCAACACTGACCGGTGAAGTCCAGGTTCACAGCCAGGAGCTCCGCTGAGGTGGGAGGCTGGGCCTGCATGTCTCGACTGCAGGACTGGCCCTCGGTGCTCAGGAAACCCCTCCCCGTGCAGCTGGCTGATCCGGCAGCACCCTGAGTGCAACCACATGCCATGGGGAAGTATGTTCTAGAACACCCTCAGCTTTCACGGATGCAGGCAGGGCACCCGCTTCCTCACCCGAGCGGTGCTGGCAGGAACCCTGGCCTGGCTTCCTCTGGCCGAGCCCCGGCAAGCCCAGAGCTGCACAGGCCCCGGGGCCCTGGTGGCCTTAGAAGAGGAAGCGGGGGCCAGGGCGCACAAGGGGTGGCAGGGCTGCAGAGGGCCTGTCTGAGCACACGGCTGCAGCCGAAACCCACGGCTCACCTTCTGGGCGGCTGAGCTCCCTTGGGCTGGGCCCCGGGCAGATGTTCCGTTTTGAGTCTCACCCTAACACCATCCCCTCGGGAGACCCTGTGCTTCCTGAAGGTGCCACCAGCGCTGCTCCACCCCCGCACGGGCCTGACACAAAGGGGCACCCAGGAACCCTCGTGGGCCTGGGGATTCCGGCCCCACATCTCAAGCCCAGCCTCCCCAACACCTGCCTGTCCCCAGAGCCCGGTGGCCCTCTGGCCTCCCTCCCCAGCCCTGCTCTCCCAGAGACCTCACTGCTGGGAGACCTTCCAGACTCCCGTTCGGCAATCCTGGGTACCAGACCCCCCATCTGCCGCAGCAAACTGCCGTGGCAGGGTCTGTGTAGCTGTGTCCCCCGTTGGTCCCCGCCAATACTTGTGGACTGAACGGCCAAGGAAGCCAACCAGCTGGAACCCCGAGCCAGGCAGAGGCGGGGAAGGGGGAGAAAGGGCCGTCCTCAGCAGAGCAGGACCAAGCGCCCGCCTGCCGCACCTGTCCCAGCTGCACCGGCCTGCAAGGGAGGGGGCCTGGACCCAAGCCCGGCTCTGCCACTGCCGGCAGTGAGTAGCAGTTGCCTCTGGGCCTTAGGTACCCCCTCAGCAAACTAGGGTGCTGGTGATCAACCTGTCTGCACAAGTCACAGTGCCCTACAGGCTAAGCTTTCGGAGACAAAGTGGCAAATGAGCCCAGAGAAGGCTCGGTACCCAGGGCTGGGAAAGCCCTGCGGGCCCACGGCCCAGCCATGAGGGCCCATGACAGACGGCATGGAGCGAGAGGCCGTCCACCCAGACCCCCACCCTCTCCCCTCTCCTGACGGCAGCCTGCACAGCCACCTGGGCAGCCTGCACAGCCACCAGGCGGCGCAAAAGCTGCAACTCCCCCGCGTGCGAGCCCCTACCAGCCCCTGTCCCCACGCTCCCTGAGACCCCCAGGTTGTCTCCACCTGAGCCCCAGGGACCACAGGCTGCCAGTGAGTCTTGGGCTCCAGAGACCTGCATTCCAGTCCAAGCTCAGCCACCAACCTGCTCCGTAACCCTGAGCGAGCCCCTTGCCTGATCTGGGCCTCAGTTTCCCCTCTTCCAAAGAGTGGTTGTGTCAGCGCTCTGAGGCCTAACTCTGGCCTAGACTGGGGCTGGAGGCTGAATCATTAAATGAAAAGGAAGGACTGGAGGAAAACTGAAAAGGAAGGGATAGGTGTTGCCACCTGGCCCCAAGGGGCTAATTCTCGGGTGGGTAGAAGCTGTTCTTGGTGCCTGCACTCCTCCTTCCGCGGCACTCCTCTGGTCACGCTTTCCTGCTCAGTGTCTCCTCCAAAGTGCGCGAGGCCCTGGCCGCCAGGGGCGACAAAGCCCGCTTGGCTCGTCCGTGCCCGCCCCCACGGCAGTCGGCGCCTGCCCCGAGGAGCGCACCCACTCCTCCATTCCTCTCGGGCTCGTGCGCTCCTGCGACAGACAGGCACTAACACTTGTGCCAGGCGCCACCCCAGGCGCCCAGAGGAAACTCTGCTCAGAGCACAAGCCCCCGAAGGCAGAGCCCGTAGTGCCCAGGTGCCTGCCAGCGCTCTGCACCAGGGCGCTCACCGCCGAACGCCCAGCCGGCCAGGCTGCCCGGCTGGAGGACGCCAGTGTTTCTCTTCTCTTGCCCACAATTCCGCCGTTAGTACTCGTTTCTTTCAGCACTGCCCTCACGAGGCTCCGTCTGGAATGGAAACACTTTCGCCCCCGTGCTTAACAGATTTCCATCCCTTTCCCCTGATAAGCAGAACAGAAAGGGGAAGTCCGGCCGGCGGGGGGAGGCCTCGCGTGGTGCCAGTCCTCCCAGGACAGCGGGCGCCATGCTGCCCGCCCCCCGACAGGGCTCCCTGGTGACAGGAAACGACACCCACGTCACAGGCCCATGGCACAGCCCAGGAAGCGGCAGGCGAGCTGGGTCCGTGGCGTGTGCCGGCAGGACGTCCCCAGACAGCGAGAAGCCACGCAGGACTCCAGACAGCACGCGGGCGCAGGCCTTCTAGCCCGACACAAAGCCAACGCCACCGGGACTGACAATTCAATTATGTGGAAAAAAAATTTTTTTTTACTACATGGTAAAAACTACCAAAACACAATCAAAAAACACATGACAGATTAAGGAAACATATTTGCAATTCATATCACAAGAAGCTAATCTCCCTCATATATAAAGGGCTCCTACAAATCAAAAAGAAAAAGATGAATAACCCAATAGAAAAATGGGAGCGGGTCAGAACAGCAAGTGCACAGAAACGGTAGTGTGAATGGCTCTTAGTAGTTGGAAAGAAGCTGACCTTCCCCCATAAAGAGAGAAACACAAATTAAAACTACCATGGTGGCAGGCATGGTGGCACGCACCCGTAGTCCCAGCTACTCAGAGGCTGAGGCAGGAGGACTGTCTGAGCCCAGGAGTTTAAGTGTAACCTGGACAACACAGAAATAGGCATTCAGGTTCACTCCTGGGCAGAAATTCGAGAGGGCATGACCCCTGGGGAAGTAATATCTAACAGAGTTACTAATGTGATAGAAACCT